AAGTAAGAATGATGGGTAAAAGCTTTCCAGTAAAATGGAAAGAGACAGATTTGAATGCTTACTCCATGGTTGTTGATGAGTCTGTTGTGTGGCATAAAGATCTAGCCACTTTAATTACAATGGACTCAAGGAGATGTATTGCAAAAGCTTAGTTCAAAACATGCCTGAGATTGAAGATTAAAAAGATGTATTTCATGCCTGCCAACTTGTAAGCAAAACAGGCTACTGCTCCCAACAAGCCAAGCATGGAGAGCTACTGAAAAGTTGCAACTCATCCACACCAATGTGTGTGGACCAATGAACACTTATTCTTTAAGTGGAAGCAGATATTTTGTTCTATTTATTGATGACTACTCAAGAATGTGCTGGATTTATTTCTTGAAACAAAAGAGTGAATTGGCTAAGGTGTTTAATGAGTTCAAAGCAATGGTGGAGAATCAAACAGGTTCCAGCATTAAAACTATTAGAAGTGACAATGGAACTGAATACACTTCTAATAAGTTTGAAAAATTATGCATTGAAGCTAGAATTAAACATCAACTGACCAGTCACTCCATAACAAAATGGAGTGAGTTAAAAGAAAAATAGGACTGATATGGAGATGGCAAGATGCATGTTGTATGAAAAAAATCTGCCAAAATTATTTTGGGCAAAAGCTATGAATACAGCAGTTTACTTGCTGAATAGACTTTCAACCAAAGCTTTGAAGAATCAAACTCCATTTGAAGCATGGCATGGAGTAAACCAACTGTGAATCATCTCAAGGTATTTGGAAGTATATATTATTCTCATATTCCAAACAGCAAGAGAAGCAAACTTGATGAGAAGGCTGAAATTAGAATCCGGATAGGGTATAGCAGCTCGACTAAAGCTTACAAAATATTCAATCCAAAAACAAATAAGGTTTTGACAAGTAGAGATGTCAAGGTAGATGAGTCTTCAACCTGGAATTGGGAAAGAAATGCAGCTGAAGATGATAAAAGACTGTAGCACGGAAAAGAATTTTCTACAAACCAAGATGATTTTAAGGAAAATTCTGGTTTTGATCCTGAAAATTCAGTTAGAGGCACTCGGCTGTTGGCTGATGTGTATGAGAGATGTAATGTAGCTATTTTAGACCCTACAAACTATATTGAAGTAGCAAAATTAGAAGAGTGGGTAGTTGTTATGAAGGAGGAGATAAATATGATAGAGAAGAATGAAACTTGGAGCCCGGTGGATAGGCCTATTGACATAAATATTATCCCAGTCAAATGGATTTTCAAAACAAAGATGAATCATGATGGATCAATCAACAAGCTCAAGGCCAGATTAGTGGCAAAGGGCTATGCACAACAGTATGATGTTGATTTTTCAGATACATTTGCTCCAGTTGCAAGACATGACACAATAAGGCTATTGATATCTTTAATAGCTCAAAAGAGATGGAAGATTTTCCAATTAAATGTCAAGTCAGCTTTCTTGAATGGCTACTTGGATGAAGAAATATATGTGGAGCAACAAGAAGGTTCTACAGGTGAAGAGAATGAAGATAAAGTGTACTTGTTGAAGAAGGCTTTACAGCTGAAGAGAATGAAGATAATGTTCATTGATTCTACTCTACCAGGCTTTAGGCTTAAGCTTGGTGTTTCTAGCAGAAATATCAAGGGGGAGTGTTAATCCAAGTGATATTTTGCTGAAACAGTTCGTATGCGATCTAAGTCATGCAATCTGAGACTCATGTGAGCTAAGATATGCGATCTGAGACTCATACGAGCTAAGATATGCGATCTGAGTCATGTGAGCTGTTAGGATATTCGGTTAACACACTTTGGGGTTTAAGTACACATTTTAAGGTGCAGCGGAATATTACCAAGTTGATTAAGCAATTCCAATTTGAACACATCAAACATAGGTGCAGAAAGTAAAGAACACAACCATATACATGGTTCGGTTAAATCCACTTTTAGCCTACATCCATGGGACCTTGTCCAGATCGAAGCAATCCACTAAGTCAAAAACACATTATAAGATATAGTTCAAAGTTGATCTAAGTTACAGTAAAAAGAACTCCCTGTTCAACTTTACACTTAGCACTACACTATGAATCCTTAACGTGTAGCAACTTCTTCGGATCTACTTTATGCTGGGAACACACCTGTGAACAGCTTGTAAACCACCAAACTTCAAGTGCTAAAACAACACACCAGCATCAACAAATGAACCACGTTCCAAGAGCCATCAAGTCAATGTTTGATATGCTGAGGTTTTGGCACTAATGGAGAAAGAACCTTGAACCTTTAAGAGAAATAATACTCTAAGAAATTCAGAGTACAGAATGAAACAAGTGTCCAAAAAGGTTAGATTCATTTACGCAAGAAGAAGAAATAGGTAATGAAGAGTTTTTTACTTAGCAATGAAGTGTGACATCAGCCAACAAGGGGCTGACCCATTGTTTGTCCAAATAAGGAAAGTATTCCTTCTTTTGGTTTGGACCACAAAGCAAATCAGGAAAGGTTACTTTATTCCCTAGGACCACCTAAGCATTTTTGCGACATATGTAAAGAGGTCCTAAATAAGAGACAAAGATAAACAATATCTTTTCAACTTTATCAAACATGCAACTCATGTTGAGTTGCAAAAAATCTGAAGTGAGAGTGTAAACACAGACCATTGTGTACACACGCGAAACGAAACAAACCAAGACACAAGTCTGGCAAACAGTGTGCACTAAGAACTGGTGTGCACACACACAATAGATGAAACAAGCCAAATAAGAGAATTGGCAACCAGTGTGCACACATAACTATTGTGCACACACATAACTCATAAGTTTAACAAAAATGAATAGTCCACACGAGCTTAGAAGTGCAGAGCTGAAGATTGCAGCTGAATGAGATCTGAAAGAAATTTGTATTTGGAGCAAAAATCAATGCTGATTATGTCAGTTGTTTTTGTTAACTACTACAACTAATGCCACGGGATTTCAGGATTACTACATTAGATTAGGTTGTGTTAGATAAAATTGTGTGGTGCTGCTGTAATGTTAANCGTCAACCAAACAGGGAGTAGTTTGTTAAAATTGATTGCTTAATTGATGTGGTTAAGGTCGGTAAAATGGTGACCCATTTCTTCACTTTTCGTGTCTTCGCTGCTGCTACTAAGTTATCTGAAGAGTTTTACTCTATTTCTTCACTTTTGTTTATTTCTTTATATTTAACTTTAATATTTTTTAAGATCTTAAATGTGTTACTGTAGAATTGGAGTTCAATTATTTAATTTTAATTTGGTTTTTTTATCGATGAGAAATTTTGTTGTAAACTTTTTGCGGTGAATTGAATTGAATGTAGAGTATTTGATTGTGGGGTGTAATTGTAAAAATGAAAACTGCAGGAATTATGAGGGTGTAACTATCAAAATTGAAAATTGGAGTAAATAGTACAGATACTCACGGGTCCACCTGTAGCTGCATAGGGTAAGGTCTAGATGTAAAATATTGGACCGTTTAGAATCAACCCGTTTTAAACCCGTACCCATTAGAGTCGTACCCATTGGACCCAACCATTATTCAGTCCACTCTCTTGTTTTGCTAGGTCTACAGTGACATATAATCAGAGGTTAATACCAAACATACTACCTGTAAGTATTGAAACTAACAAGTTGCCCTCAAGAACTTCATAAACTACAGTATACATCCCCTACTGGCCTACCATCACTTTTATCCATTAAAATGATTGAATTGAGTTGACTACTTAAAAGACTAAATTACCCCTAAAGTTTTTTAAAGTAAATATTTATATCTTTCCTTTATTAATTTCCATAAATAAAAAATAAAATCTATGCTGAACAAAACAACAGGTGTAGCAGAAGAATCAGTTTGATGATCAATTTACTAAAATGCTCAATATAATTACTAGATTGCTGGTGAGTCTTATTACCAATATTTTTTTCCAACAAAGTAGTCATATGACAATCTACTAAAATGCTCAATATGTTTTCAACACTGATTAGGAACCCGACCCGNAGTTTGAAATTGGAGAAAAGATTCATCACCTCCTGAATCTGGAATCATGGCAGACCTACACCGTTCTGTGGCAGCAGTAAGCTTTTTCTTTCACTTATAAAATCACTTCTTGAACTCATATATACGCATAGATGCACATGCACATCTGTAATGTCTTAAAAGAAATGTCTTAGCCTAATGTCAATTAAGACCACCATAGAATAAAGATAGGACATCAGACCTACCTTGTCCGAAAAGAATCTTTAAATAATTATGAAAGGTTCAAGGAAAGGTTGATAGCATTTTACCATTATTCAGGGAATCATCAAGATAAATAGATGTCATAATCTTTTCATTCTCTATTCATTTTACTTCTATACATACAGATTATAGATTTTGCCTCGTATAGTTGATCATTTCATCTTTCTTCTCTTTCTCATTATGCAGTATTCAGTATTTGGTACGCTAACAATAGTAGGTTTGTAATAAATGGGATATATGATAGATGATCTCATCGGTCGAAGAGCTATAAGTTATTCTATTACACTTTCTAGTTGACTAATTTTTCACCTTTGTTAATGGTGTTCAATCAAATTCACATAAACAAGCTAGACAATGTGGGTTTTGGAATTATTCTGCAAATATAGTACCTAAGATGGAAATAAATCATCCTTGGATCAAAGTTATAGGTCTTATTATTTAAACTACATCCTTTAGTGCTTCATTATTTTTTTAATAGTTTCAGTAAATAAAGTATATATATAATGATTTCGTTGGCAGACTTTTCAAGTAGTGGTGGGACTACTTTGAGGCATAAGAACTCGTACGAGTGTGAATTTATATTCTGTATCCATTTTCTTTGGCTGGAATATGAACTTTTGACCCATCACTTTTGATATTTCCTTTATAATATTAAAACACCCACTTGTTTCACCAAGACATAACTAATTATCCTAGTGGATGAATTTATTTATTCTTAAAGTGCCCAGCTGGATCAATTAATTAATAGCTGAGACAATTTAGATTTCAGAATTCCACGTCTATCACAGTATCACCATGACAGAATGCCTTTATATCATAAATTTATAATATGCCAAAAGAATCCCATAATGGCATATTAATATAACTCTGCACCACTGAAAGCATTTGAAACATTGTCTTGATAAACTCATCATTTGCTTTAAATTTCACTGATAAGTTTTATTCCGTGAATATTTTTATTGATTTCCATTCACCCCCTCTAGAAATATTTAGCCATACTTAGGTTATATATCTTATTGGTGAGAGAGGTGAGAGAGGGTCATTTCTGCTTGAATTTCTTCAAGGGTTCGCCCCTTTGTCTCTGGCACAAGCTTTGCAACAAATAGAATAGTTAAACCCCAAATGCTTGAGAATATAAAAAAGGTTCCTGCAATTGATTATGTATGAAAGAATTAATTAGTTCATATGCCATAAAATTTATAGTGAAAGGGAGAAATAAAAGGTTGGGGGGACGGCGGTTAAGGTATACCTGTAGAGCTCCATTCCATCATAAAATTGAAGGAGTATGAAATAATCCACCCGGTTAAAAAATAGGCAAAAGTTGCAAGGCTTCCACCTGAGCCCTTTACATTTACAGGAAATACCTGAAATGGAAAGTCATCAGTCAATTTGGAATCTTACACAGAAACCATCTTGTAGTGCTGAAATTCTGTTAATATTTTCGGGAAAAAATATGAATGTGGAATAAAACTTGATGGAGTTTTATACCTCGGACATTATTAGCATAGGTAACCCTGCCATGCCCATCGAGAAAGTTACAGTATACAGCTGATTAAAAATTACAGCATCAATAAACACACTACCTAATATTGATATATTCTTTGCAAAAACCAACTAATATAAAGATGAAGAATAGAAGGAATAAAATTGTTTAATGTGTTACCATTATGCCAAGATAAACTAAAATTGGAGTGATCTCTTTCCAATAGCCATGTTCCTGATCATTAAAACAAACATAGATAAGGGTTCTTCATATAAAGTACAATAATCAGTTCGGCATAAATTTTAAGTTTTAAGAGAAACCTGCAAACAGAATGACAAGCCAATAAGGAAGAAACTCAAGCAGTTTCCGGTGTTGGAAACCATAAGAAGTGGTCGTCTTCCAGATTTATCTGTCAGGATAACAGATATAACAACAGCAGGAATCTGCACAAAATTTTCAGTTGGTATATGAAAATGCTGAACGAAAATTGACTCCTATTTACTTGCAATTTGTAAGAGTAAATTACCTGGATAATAGCTATAGAGATAGTCCCAATTGTACTTGAAAAACCTAATAAAGATTCGTATTATTAATTGTTTAGACATTGTTTATTAATTAAAGAATAAAGCAACACTAAAAGGCTTTAACCTACTGGCATCTTCAAATATGGAACTGGCGTAAAATGAAATTCCAGTATTCCCACCCAAATTCTGTAGTGACAAAAGCCCTACTCCGACCTAAACAAATCAAAGAATTAATTAACAGGTATAGAGTAGTCACAGTCACCGAAAGGCAAACTTCCTCGACAAAAAAGTTATATGTTTTACATATATATATATATTTTTTTTTCTTTTTTTCCTTTTTTTTTTTTTTTTTAATAACTCACTATAAGGGAATGTGCATATCTAGGTTGGAATAAGTTGAAGATTCGATCATCTGATTGCTGCTGAAAGGCCTCTGTGTAAAGCTGCTTAGTAACAAAAAGTTAATATATTCATACTTACTAAACATGGGATATGCTAAGACTTGAAAAAATGAAAGAAGTGGAAGTTCACTTTTATATTAGCTGCTTCTTGACAAATATCAGCATCCCTTCCTCTAAGTTTCTGCAGAGTAGCATCTAATTCTTTCTCTCGACCAGTCATCGCCTGCAGGCATGCAGTTCAATACATATTTAGCATTTTAAAAGATTTGCATATGATATATGCTTCAATGACTCTAATTTGTTAGACACTATATACGAATAGGACTCACCAGCCATCTAGGGGATTCTGGAATGAAGAATATACCAAACACTTGCACCATGCATGGAATAATAGCTTAAATTTTAAACAATCTATTGGTTAATAATGTCTTTGTAAGTAGCTAAATCAAATAGTTCATGAAAGGGCTATAAGAAATTACCAATTAGAGCCAGGGCGCGCCAAGAAACGACAGTTCCAAGAAAGAACATTAATGATATTCCACAAGTAAGCATCAACTGTATACTTAACAATATTTGTGCATAATCAATGAGTTGGATAGACTCAATATCACAATCTAATAGTAAAATGCTAAGATCTTACCGTATTAGCTGATGTTAATGCTCCTCGAATATTCTTAGGAGTAATTTCTGCAACATATACAGGTGCCTGTTTTAAAACAAGAGTGCAAGAACTTTCTCATGACACAATAATGTTTATAAATTAGTCAACTATAAAATGCAGCAGTTATTACTATTACCAGATAAGCCATGAGGCCAGTTCCAATTCCCAGTGATGCTCTTCCAAGATCCAAGAACCAGACATCCTTGAAACAATCATTTAATTGATGAAACCCATCAAGAGAACAAACAACAATTGGAATTCTAAGTTGTATATGAAAATGTTGAATAAATTATGAGGAAGTGAAAATATGTCTAAACAAGAAACCTTGGCAAAAGCTATAGCCAGCCACCCAATGATGAAGAAAAAATCTGCAAACCAGAGAGCCTGTTTCATAAGACCACCAAATTAGTTGAAAATTAGTCGAAAAATTAATCAGTTGAGAAGGAAAACTTACTTTTCTCCGACCAATGAGATCGGCTATTTTCCCATTTATTAATGAACCTCCCAGTCCACCAATTGTTATCACTGAACCAAAAACCGAGAACTGGACAGAGACAAAAGTAGATCATGTAATTTCGGTTGAACATTTAATCAGCATAAAATCTAGTTAACAAACTGGTTTGCTCACAACACATAAGAGGTAATGATAGAGGACACAATTACTTACTGCTGCCACTGAGAGGCCCAGGTCCTCCCTGATTCCCGATTCAGCAGGCGACGAGTATCCTGCCTGCGAAACAAGAAGAAATTTCCGCACTAGCCATTCAAACCTCAAATTACATCAATGCCTAATAGAGAAAAGATACAGTACTTACACAGCAGCCAAAAACGAAGAAACCGCATATGGCAATGAAGGTGCTGAACAAAACAGTAGGAGTAGCGGAAGAAGCGCTTTGATATACATTTAATTCACTGCCATCACCAATGCCTCCATTTGGTTTAAGAATTGAAGAACCTGGTAACAGTCCTTCCTCCAAGCTCTGTCTCACCATATTGTGCTTTCTTGAAAGAAAGAAATGGAGATTGAAATGTGTTGACTATCCAGTAGGATTTTCGAAGTGACTAACAGAACAGTATTCTATTTTGTACATTTTGAACTGTTACTTTACTGTCTACCAGTTAGTTTTTCCTAATCATAACCACACTTATAACTTCTCACAATTTCTTGGGCCAAGGCCAGAATTGGACTCCTACTTGAAGAAACTATTCTGTTAAACATGTGATAATTAAGCATACCAACCTCAACTCCCCCTCCCACGAGCAGCTCTTCAAACTTTCAAGTGAAGAAGATGTTGACCCCGAACTAGTGTTGACTCAGACGGATAACAAAATTATTATAATATAAATGACAAAGAATTTATGTTTATATTATAACCAAAAAAAAAAAAATGATGTCACCATTAAATTAAGGTGAGTCGTAGCACTAGTACCACAGACTTTTTCTCTATATTAACGTGAAATAACTGTCCCAAAAGTGTTTTATATATTGAATACTTGATACCCATCTGAAGTTCCAAAAAAATGACTCCATCTACCAGTCTCACCTAACTTTGTTTCCAAAATCACATGTCCAACCCTTTACAGTTACTTAACTCTTGACACTTTGTTTCAAGGAAAATGATCCCAATTAAAAAAATAAAATAAATAAAATAAAATCCATATTAGAGAATGACTATACAAATTTATGGACGTTTATTAGGAGTCCCTGAAGTATCTGTATATATGTTATTGATGAAAGAGGGTCATTGATGCTTTGTATTTCATCAAGTGTTCGCCCCTTAGTCTCTGGCACAAGCTTTGCAACAATAGAATAGTCAAACACCAAATGGTTGAGAATAAAAGAGAAAAAAAAAAGGGGGTTCCTGTCAGTGATTATGTATGAAAGAGTTAATTAGTTCATATGCCACAAAATTTACTGTGAAAGAGAGAAATAAAAAGTTGGGGGAATTGACTTAAAGGTGTACCTGTTGAACTCCATTCCATCATAAAATTGAAGGAGTATGAAATAATCCAAGCGCCTGCAGAATTGGCAAAAGTTGAAAGGCTTCCAGCTGAGCCCTTTACATTTATAGGAAATACCTAAAACGGAAGGTCATTACTCACTTTACAAACTTACACAGAAACCATCTTGTCATACTAAAATTTTGTTAATATTTTTCATGAAAAATAGACAAAATGAACATGCAGAAACAACTCAATATCTACCCTATTTGAATTACACAGAAGTTATAAGAAAAAATGGAAGGGAAAAAATTACAATCCCTATTTGAATTAAAATCTAATATCATCAAACAACTCAATATCTACCCATACAACAACCATCAGAATAAACAAAATCCACAAATTCACAACAAGGCCACAAATCCTCTTACCTAAACCATTCTGAAGACAAAGTCATTGCCATTCTTGACTTAGGTTGAGATAGAGTGGGCAAGCTTTTGCCTTTCATCTGACTTGACATCCCTCTCCTTTTTACAACCAGATTCTGGTTGGGGATTCTTTCAGAAATTTGGTCAACTAACTTTCAAGCCTGTTGAACATGTTTCGCCTTTCTCACTGGGCCTTGGCTTTAGGAGGTTCTTTGGAATGGTGTGTTGTGCTTCTATGAAGAGTGGGGTGGGGCGTCCAGTTGCGGAGACGGCAGTGGAATCAAGAATTGTCATGGTGATTTTAGTGCCAGTGGCGGCGAGCGAGGCGGCTGTTTAGTGATTAAAATTTGCAAGAAAATTCTTTATTTTATTTATTTAGCTGCTGAAAAGTCTCATTTACTCTTCACCCGTTAAATTTAGTCTAACGTCTGTCCGTTTAAAGGATGATTTTAAAAATAGAAAATTAATGTGTCCTTACTTGTCATAGATCAAAACATAAAGACCAAATAAATTTGATTTTCGTGTCTCGCCAAGTTTTTTAAAATTCTGATTATTTAGTAAAGTATACCAACTATATATATATATAAAAGTTGATTTTAACTAATATGATTGTTGATGTGTCATACCATATGAATTATAAAATTTTGTGGAGTAAAGTTGTGTTTCCTAACATTAATGTGACTTTGGCATAAACTTGGCAATTTGGGACTATACCCACGGATAGAGTACGGGTTCATGACTCTGGGTCTCTTTTTTTCCGACTCGTATGCAATTCGACTCGTTTATTTTACAAGTAGACTGGGCCATAGGTACCCGTATACAAAAAACAAAAAACAAAAACAAAAACAAAAAAAAATCAATCCAGCTCTCCTCTACCTCTGAGTAAACAAACTTGAACTCGTTCACACACCTTTTGCTTTTCGCATTTTCAATTTCTTCTACAAAATTAACTAAATTTTGCTCCAACCTCCATTTAGATCCCTATCTTCTTCTAAATTTTCATCTGATCCAAGATTCTCATAAAAATTCCACTTTACATTTTCATGATTTCTTAATCTAACCTCTCTTTTTGTCTCCATTCTTCTCTTTCTTCTTCAAATTAGGGTTTCTCTTTTCTCATTCTCACTTCTTGTTATTGAATTTTTGTTTGTTGTGTTTTGTGTTAGAGCTGATGCTAGATTTAAGTTTTTCTATTTGGTTGCTCGGAAAATTGAAGAGAAAGAGACGAGTTACTCTACTTTTTTAATAGTAACATGCTTTGAGTTTTTGCATTTTTGTTTTTGGATTTTTCGGTTTCTGAAAATATTCACATTTTTTTTTTCTTTTTTTTTTGATAAAGTTTCTTACATTTTCTCGCTAATCAAACAGGGAGTATTTGGTTTCTGAGAAAAATTAAATTTTTTAATTTTGTTTTGATAAAGTTTCTTAGATTTTCTCGTCAACCAAACAGGGAGTAGTTTGTTAAAATTGATTGCTTAATTGATGTGGTTAAGGTCGGTAAAATGGTGACCCATTTCTTCACTTTTCGTGTCTTCGCTGCTGCTACTAAGTTATCTGAAGAGTTTTACTCTATTTCTTCAATTTTGTTTATTTCTTTATATTTAACTTTAATATTTTTTAAGATCTTAAATGTGTTACTGTAGAATTGGAGTTCACTTATTTAATTTTAATTTGGTTTTTTGCAGTGAATTGAATTGAATGTAGAGTATTTGATTGTGGGGTGCAATTGTAAAAATGAAAACTGCAGGAATTATAAGGGTGTAACTGTCAAAATTGAAAATTGGAGTAAACAGTACAGATACCCACAGGTCCACCTGTAGCTGCATTGGGTAAGGTCTAGATGTAAAATAGTGGACCGTTTAGAATCAACCCGTTTTAAACCCGTACCCATTAGAGTCGTACCCATTGGACCCAACCTGTATAATCAGAGGTTAATACCAAACATACTGCCTGTAAGTATTGAAACTAACAAGTTGCCCTCAAGAACTTCATAAACTACAGTATACATCCCCTACTGGCCTACCATCACTTTTATCCGTTAAAATGATTGACTTGAGTTGACTACTTAAAAGACTAAATTACCCCTAAAGTTTTTTAAAGTAAATATTTATATCTTTCCTTTATTAATTTCCATAAATAAAAAATAAAATCTATGCTGAACAAAACAGCAGATGTAGCAGAAGAATTAGTTTGATGATCAATTTACTAAAATGCTCAATATAATTACTAGATTGCTGGTGAGTCTTATTACCAATATTTTTTTCCAACAAAGTAGTCATATGACAATCTACTAAAATGCTTAATATGTTTTCAACACTGATTAGGAACCCGACTCGGCCCAACCGGTTTAACCGATTAGACTGGGACCTGGGGCCTTCACTGGTTTAACCAGCAAAGGTCAAAAACTAGCCCTCAAAATTACAAACACCCCCCTGCTCCTTCCATTCACCCCCTCTCACATTCCGGCACTTTCACCCTCATTTTGGCGGATTCCAATGCCTAAAATCATGACCAAACCCTCCATTGGCCTCACTGGCATCTCCCCACCAAAAACCCCAACAACCTCGACCTTGACTGCTCGATGATCGTCGTCAGCCACCCTTAGGTTTTCGTGATTTTACTTTTTTTCGATCGTTCCCGACGTCAAAAATCACCCTTGACCCCTCCATTTGCCTCACCAGCATCTCCCCACCAAAAGCTCCATCATCCCGAAGTCTTGTTGGCCACTGATCTTCACTTGTCTATATGGGTGTTTTTGCTGGATTTCAAACCTAAAGGGACTAATTTGTGTTTATTAAGGGTGTATTTGCTAGATTTTAAACCTACTAGATTAACGGGAAAACACCGGTCAAACCGGTTAGAGCGGTCAAATCTTGACTCGGTCCCCTGGCCAGATTGTCATACGGGCCGGGTTCCTAATCATTGGTTTTCAACTGCCTGCCGAGTGCCGACGATGACTGGTCGAGAGAAAGAACTAGATGCTACTCTGCAGAAACTTAAGAGGAAGCGATGCTGGTATTCCTCAAGAAGCAGCTAATACTAAAGTGAACTTCCATTTCTATATCTTGAATATCAACCGGAAAGAATTGATTCTTTGATTTTTTTTTTTGAAGACTTAGCATATCCGATGTGTAGAAAGTATAAACAAGTTAAGTTTCTATCATTGTACAGCTTTATACAGAGGCCTTTCAGCAACAATCCGATGATCGAATCTTCTACTTATTCCAACCCAGATATGCACATTCCCTTATACTGAGTTATCAAAAGAAATAACCTTTTTTCGGCCAGGAAGTTTTCCTTTCTGTGACTACTCTCTACCTGTTGATTAATTCTTTGATTGGGTTAGCTTGGAGTGGGACTTTCGTCGCTACAGCAACTGGGTGGAAGTGCGGCAATTTCATATTATGCCAGTTCCATATTTGAAGAAGCCAGGAGGTTAAAGCCTTAATTTAGTGTTGCTTTATTCTTTAACCAATAAACAATTTCTAATGATATGAAGAAGAGTAATTTTTCTTCAGCATTTTCAATTACCAAATGAAAAATTTTGTGCAGATTCCTGCTGTTGTTATGTCTAATATCCTGATAGATAAAACTGGAAGAAGAACACTTCTTGTAGTTTCCAACACTGGAAACTGCTTCTGTTTCTTCCTTATTGGCTTGTCATTTTATTTGCAGGTTTCTCTTAAAACTAAAATTTATGCCAGATTGATTCATGAACTTTATATGGAGAACTCTTATCTGTATTTGTTTTTTATGATCAGGATCATGGGTATTGGAAAGAGATCGCTCCAATATTAGTTTAAATTGGCATAACGTTAACACATATTAATTATTAAATCATAAATGACAATATTTTTCTGGGTATAACTAACACCTTTAAGTCAACAGATACACCGTTTCAGGTTTCCCATAAATGTACGCTTGGATTATTTCATACTCTTTCAATTTGATGATGGAATGGAGTTCAACAGATACGCCTTTAAGTCAATCCCCCCCAACATTTTATTTCTCCCTTTCACTGTAAATTTTATGGCATATGAACTAATTAACTCTTTCATACATAATCAATTGCAGGAACCTTTTTCCTATTCTCAAGCGTTTGGGGTTTAACTATTCTATTTGTTGCAAAGCTTGTGCCAGAGACTAAGGGGCGGACACTTGAAGAAGTACAAAGCATCAATGACCCTCTTTCATCAGTAACATATGTATAGATATATTAGAGACTCGTAATAAACGTCCATATATCTGTATAGTCATTCTTTAATGTGGATGTTGGTTTTTTTCCCTTTTCCTTTTTTTGAATTCGGATCATGTTTATTATCATAATTAAGAAGTTTACCATTGCCAATAAATATTAAATACAAAATTCCATGTTCCTTGAAAAAAGAGTCAAGAGTTAAGAGTAAACGACTTTTTCCCACCCAAGGTTTGCCTAATGGGCCTTCGCACCCAAAAAGTTTAAAATAACACTTTTCCACCCAAAGTTTTTATTCATTACTACTCAAAACCGATTCCAGCCGATTTTGACAAAAAATTTTTCCTATACATTTGAACCTCTAATCTCTCTCTAGAAACCCTCACTTAGCACATGATTTCTCTCAGATTGTCAACCACACACAAATCTAATATTTCTGTTTTAGCTAATTTTCGATTGATTCCGATAGAAATTTAATCGGTCACCACCATTAGTTCTACAGCCTTCACTTTATAAAACCTCTTTTACCTTGATTCTGGTAATTCGTTGAACGTCAATTGAAAAAGTAAGAGTGTTTTGGATATTAACATAATATAAACTTTGGGTAGGAAAGTGTATTTGAAACCTTTTTAGTGGAAAAATGTCATTAAGGCAAAAAAAATCGTTTACTCCAAGAGTTAAGTAACCGTAAAGGGTTGGACATGATCTTTGGGAACAAAATTAGGTGAGACTGGTAGATAGAATCATATTTTTGTAACTTCAGATGGGTAACAGATTCAATAGTACCCTCTGTTCAATGTCTAAAACACTTTTGGACAATTATTTCACGCTGCAATAGTGAAAAAGTCACGACAACCACCTTAATTAACGCCTTTCATGGTGACATCATTTTTTTTTCTACCATGAACATGTATTCCATCATTTAATTATAATAATAAACATTACACAAAACCCAAAACATCAGAGGACCTTAATATTTTTTTTTTTGGAAGTTTGAAGAGCGTTTGTGTGGGATGGAACTGAGGTGGGGTATGCTTAATTATCACGTGTTTACCACAAAAGATTTCTTCTACTAAGAATCCAACTCTGCCCTGCTCCAAGAAAATGTGAGAAGTTAGTAAGTGTGGATATCATTAGGAAAACTAATAGAAAAGTGTTCTGTTAGTCACTTAGAAAACCTACTGGATTGTCAACACATCTCAATCTCCATTTCTTTCTTTCAAGAAAGCACAATATGGTGAGACAGAGCTTGGAGGAAGGACTATTACCAGGTTCTTCAATTCTTGAACCAAATCGAGGCATAGCTGATGGCAGTGAAATAACTGTATATCAAAGCGATTCTTCCACCACTCCTACTGTTTTGTCAGCACCTCATTGCCGTATGCGGTTTTCGTTTTTGGTTGCTGTGTAAGTAATGTATTTTTCTCTATTAGCAATGATGTAATTTGAGGTTTGAATACTGGTATGGTAATTTCTGCTTGCTTCGCAGGCAGGATATTCGTCGCCTGCTGAATCGGGAATCAGGGACGACCTTGGCCTCTCAGTGGCAGCAGTAAGTATTTGTCCTCTATCATTACCTTTATTACGTTGTTAGCAAACCAGTTTGTTAACTAGATTTTATGCTGATTAATGTTCAACCGAATGACTGAAGTACTTTTGTCTCTGTCCAGTACTCAGTTTTTGGTTCAATAATGACAATTGGAGGACTGGGAGGTTCATTAGTAAATGGTAAAATAACCGATCTCATGGTCGGAGAAAAGTAAGTTTTCCTTCTCTAAACTGATTAACTTTCCGAAATTTTCAACTAATTTGGTGTCTTATGAAGCAGGCTTTCTGGTTAGCAGATTTTCTTCATCATGGGGTGGTTGGCTATAGCTTTTGCCAAGGTTTCTTGTTTAGACACATTTCACTTCTTCACAATTATTTACACTTTCAAATACAACTTAGAACCAATTGTTGTTGTTCTCTTGATGGGTTTCATCAATTAAATGATTGTCAAGGATGTCTGGTCCTTGGATCTTGGAAGAGTATCATGGGAATTGGAATTGCCCTCATGACTTATGGTAATAGTAATAATGCTGCATTTATGTGACTAATTTATAAACATTATTGTGTCATGAGCCAGTTCTTGAACTCTTGTTAAAACAGGCATGTATATGTTACAGAAATACTCCTAAGAATATTCGAGGAAACATGACATCAGTAACACGGTAAGATCTTAGCATTTTACTATAGATTGTGATATTGAGTCTATCCAACTCATTGATATGCACAAATATTGTAAGTTTACAGTTGATGTATGCTTGGGAATATCATATGTTCTTTCTTGGAACTGTTGTTCCTGGGCGCCGGCTCTAATTTGTAATTTCTTATAGCCCTTTCTGAAATATTTGATTAGCTATTACAAAGACATTATTAACCAATAGATTGTTTAAAATTTCAGCTGTTATCCATGCATGGTGCAAGTGTTTGGTATATTCTTCATTCCAGAATCCCTAGATGGTGGTCAGTCCTATCAAATATATTGTCAAACAAATTAGATCATTGAAGCATATCATATGCAAGTCTTTTAAAATGCTAAATATGTTTTGAACTGTGCGCCTGCAGGCAATGAATGGTCGAGAGAAAGAATTAGATGCTACTCTGCAGAAAATTAGAGGAAGGGATGCTGATATTTCTCAAGAACAGCTAACTCAAAGGAACTTCCACTTCTTTCATTTTTTCAAGTTTAGCATATCCCATGTGTAGTCAGTATGAATATGTTAAGTTTCTGTTATTGCACAGCTTTACACGAGGCTTTCAGCGACAAGCAGCTGATCAAATCTTCAACTTATTGCAACCTAGATATGCATACTCCCTTATAGTGAGTTATAAAAAGAAATAACCTTTTTGGCAAGGAAGTTTTCCTTTCTGTATTCTGATTCTCTATACCTGTTAATTAATTCTTTGATTTGTTTAGGTCGGAGTGGGGCTTTTTCACTGCAGCAATGGGGGGGAGCTCTGGAATTGCATATTACGCCAGTTCCATATTGAAGAAGCCAGTAGGTTAAAGCCTTTTAGTGTGTGTATTCTTTAATTAATAAATAATGTCTAAAAATTAATGAAATGAATCTTGTTAGGTTTTTCAAGTACAATTGGGACTATCTCTATAGCTATATCCAGGTAATTTACTCTTACAAATTGCAAGTAAAAGGAGTCAATTTTCCTTCAGCATTTTCATATACCAATTGAAATTTGTGCAGATTCCTGCTGTTGTTATATCTGTTATCCTGACAGAAATCTGGAAGACGACCATCTTTATGGTTTCCAACACCGGAAACTGCTTGAGTTCTCTCCATTGGCTTGTCATTCTGTGTCAGGTTTCTCTTAAAACTTATATTTATGCAAACTGATTAATGTACTTCTATATGAGAAACTTATCTGTTTGTTCTAATATGAGGACCATGGCTACTGGAAAGAGTCACTCCAATTTTAGTTTATTGGCATAATGGTAACACATTAAACAATTTATTCCTTCTATTCTTCATCTTATATTAGTTGGTTTTGCAAAGAATATATCAAAATTAGCGAGTGTGGTTATTAATTGATGCTGTAATTTTTAACAGCTGTATATCGTAAGTTTCTCGATGGGCATGGCAGGGTTACCTATGCTAATAATGTCCGAGGTATAAACTCCATCAAGTTTTATTCCACATTCATGTTTTTTCGTGAAAATATTAACAGAATTTCAGCACTACAAGATGGTTTCTGTGTAAGATCCAAATTGACGATGACTTTCCATTTCAGGTATTTCCCATAAATGTAAAGGGTTCAGCTGGAAGCCTTGCAACTTTTGTCAATTCTTTATCCAGTTGGATTATTATTACTCCTTCAATTTATGATGGAATGGAGCTCAACAGGTATACCTTAACCAATCCCCCCAATTTTTGTTTCTCCCTCTCACTATAAATTTTACGGCATATGATCTATTTAACTCTTTCATACATAATCAATTGCAGGAACCTTTTTTATATTCTCAAGCATTTGGGGTTTAACTATTCTATTTGTTGCAAAGCTTGTGCCAGAGACAAAGGGGCGAACCCTTGAAGAAGTTCAAGCAGAAATGACCCTCTCTCACCAATAAGATATATATAAATATGGATATAGATATTTTAGGTCTTTCCATAACATGTTTCCTTGAAAGATCCAAAGCAGAAACATAGGTGTCAAGAGTTAGAAAATGTAAAGGGTTTGACATGTAAGTTTGGAAACAAGGTTAGGTGAGACTTTAAGTTTGGAAACCAGGTTTTTATTATTATTATTATTTGTATTTTCAGAAGGATATTTTTATTAGCCTATGTTGAATATAAAAAAACCCTTTTGGGATAATTATTGTATGCCATGATTGATTGTATTTTGATTTGGGAGACTCATCTTAATGCAGTGATGGTGGTAGAAATCTTTTTAATCCTAATATCAGCATAAGTTCATCCTCATTTAGATTATAATGACAAAACATTCTTTACAACTGCAAATCCAAAACACTCAGAGGTTTTAAATATTCTTTTCACCAAAATCTCTTCTTCTTCATTTGGAAGTTGGAAGAGCCATTTGTGGGAGTTGAAGTGTAGTATGCTTAATTGTCCATGAAAATATGAGAATTAAGTGTGGTTATGATTACGAAAACTAACTGGTATGGAACAGATGTTTGTATGGTAACCACAAATAATTAATTGACTTCGGTCACAAAACAGAGAAATGGTCCCTATACTCACAAATGACAAAGCAGTAGACAGCAAAGTGATCTCGCTGGTAGGAGAAGAATAAGTTCTTTTTCTTTTTATGTTAATTTATTTTATTTTCTGTTAAGTGTAACCAGCATGGTCTAACATAAACTTTCTAACTATAAGCTTATTAACTTTTCTAACAATTCTCAAAAAATTTGGTTATCTTGTGAAGCAGGGATTCCGGTTAGCAGATTTTTTTCTTCATCATTGGGTGGTTCACTCTTGAATTCGCCAAGGTTTCTTGTTTATACATATTTTCATTTTCTCACAATTCATACAACAGTAAAACAAGATTTAGAATCTGAAGAAGAATGTTGCATGATTGATTTTGTAAAGAAACAATCATGATAATATAAATGGTAATTTACTTTCATCTTAGGGAGCCAACAGACGAAAAGATTCTCAGAAATATTAGCTTGAATCAACATGCTTTTTTGTAACTCACTTTCTTCTGTTGATGGGATTAAGGATGCCTGGTTTCTGGATCTTAGAGAACATCATTAGGAATTGGAATTGGACTTTATGTGGTAATTTTACTGAATATTCCATTTTATAGTTTATTTATTTAAAGGCATATTTGATGAAATCATGACAGTATTTACACCCTTGCTTTGATGCAAGCACGAGAGTCCAGCCAACTCTTTTATCACTTAACAAATATTTTTTAAGTTTACAGTTGATGCTCACAATGCGGTATATCACTAATGTTCTTTCTTGGAGCTGTTGTTTCCTGGCACGCCTTGCCTCTAATCGGTAATTTTTTATTGCCCTTTAAAGTATTAAGTGATTTAGGTACTTACAGAATTTAATTATAAGAATAGATTCTTAAAAATTTCAGCTATTGTTCCATGCTTGGTGTAAGTAGTTGGCGTATTCTTCATTCCCGAATCCCCTAGATGGCTGGCTAATCCTGTTACAAATTCTAATGTGTCTGAAAAATTAGTATAATTGATTCATTGAAGCATACATCATATGAGTATCCACTGAACTGTTGCCTGCAGGCGATGGTTGGTCGAGAGAAAGAATTAGATGCAAATCTACAGAAACTTAGGGGAAGGAATGCTGATATTTCTCAGGAAGCAGCCTACATCAAAGTGAAGTTCCACTTCTGTAACTTGAATTCCAACTGAAAGCAATTTTTTTCCGTTAAAAGTCATGCAGTTCCCATTTCCTTTTTTTGAATTCGGATCATGTTTATTATCATAATTAAGAAGTTTACCATTGCCAATAAATATTAAATACAAAATTCCATGTTCATTGAAAAAAGAGTCAAGAGTTAAGAGTAAACGATTTTTCCCACCCAAGGTTTGCCTTAATGGTACTTCCGCACCCAAAAAGTTTTAAAATAACACTTGGCACCCAAAGTTTATATTATGTTACTACCCGAAGCTAATTCTAGCCGATTTTGCGACGAAAATTCTCTCCATCACCACCATTTGAACCTCTAATCTCCTCTCTACAAAACCCCTCTCACTTTGGCACATGATTTCTCGCAGATTGCCAACCACCACAAATCTAAGATTTCTTGTTATTAGCTAATTTCTGATTGATTCCGACAGCAAATATTCAATTGGCCACCACCATTCAATCCAACAGCCTCCAGTCTATAAAATCCCTCTTACCTTGTTTCTTGGTAACTCGCCGAATGCCAACTAAGAAAGTGAAGTGTATTTTAAGTATTAACGAAATATAAACTTTGGATGGGAAAGTGGTATTTTGACACTTTTTGGGTGGAAAAGTGTCATTAAGGCAAAAAAGTCGTTTACTCCAAGAGTTAAGTGATGGTAAAGGGTTGGACATAGGGGTGAGCGGTTCCAGGTACCCTCCATTTTCCGGGGGAACCGGAACCGCACAGTACAGGTTCCCAAAAAAAAGAACCGGAACAGGAACCGCACAGTGCAGGTTCTTCAATTCAAGGAACCGGAACCTAAAATGCAGGTTCCGGTTCCTTTCTGGGGTACCCTGTAAAAAATCAATTGCCCCCTATTAGTTTAAAAATGACAAAAAATACCTTAAAAGTTTACAAATACACCCCTAACAAATATACTATTTGGGTTTAGGGTTTAATTATAATGTAATATTATAATTAATTAAATTGTTAATCATTTAATTAAGTATTGTAATATTGTTTATAATAGAATGTTATAATTAATTAAGTAATCATACCATAAATTTATAATGTAATGTTATAATTAATAAAATTCTAATCATTTAATTAAGTATTGTGTAAATTAATAAATTAATTACTAATGTTTATAATATAATGTCATAACAATGCAGTTAATCAGTTAATATGTAAGTTATAATTTTTTAAAATTATATGTTTTTGCATCATACTATAATAGTATAATGTAATAGTAGTAATGAATTAAGTAATACATACTATAAATCTATCAATTTAAGATTATAATTAATTAAATTTCAATCATTTAATTAATATACTAATGTTTATATTGGAATGTATAAATGATTGATTAAGTACTGACTTATAACTATATAAGATAATGTTCATCAATTAATTAATTTTTAATCAGTTATAATAATAATGTAAAATATAGTCAAAGTGACTAATGTTTATAAGTATGTTATAAATTCATAACTAATTTATGTAACTTCCTTAACTGTAATGCTATAATTAAGGATAGTAATCATAATCATAAGTAAATAATAATGTTAATTAAAATTGAGTAAGTATGTAACTAATTGGTAATGTTAAGTAATGTTTAAAATGACGATTGTTATACGTAATGTTATATAATTAATTAAATTTCTAAATCATTTATTATATTGTGTTAATGTTAACGTAGAAACTTATGTAGTAATTAGTAATTACTAAGTTTCAAAACAAATATTGATAACTCCTAATCAATTAAGTAATCATTTAATTATGTGAATGATTTAAGTTTATGTGCATTCATATTATTAATGTAATCGTGTATAGGAAGATTAAGTAATACAGATATAGATCTTTCGTTAATTATAATTAGATTAAATTTTAACATTTAATTAAGTATATAATAATAATAAGTAGTAAATTTATAATTTTATAATGTGATAATTTATAAATTTATAGTAATATAAGTAATCATTTAACTGATGTAAATACTTATGAATTAAGTGATCATAATATAATGTAATGGAATAAAAGGTTAGATTATAATTAGTAGAGTATTTAATTTAAAATATATATTATAGATTCAAATTTCTAATTATTTAATTAAATAATCATTGCTCATTTTATAATCTGTAATGTGTATAAGTTCTAATAGTCATATCACATGTAATATAATCATCTATTAGTGTAAGGTTAGAATTAATTATGTAAGCAACTATCATGTGCTAGTAAGGACTCCGTGAATTATGTAGATCACCAGGATTAAGGACTCATACTAGCAAG